TTGGCTTCTAGAGCTTTTTAAATTTATATTTCTATTTTAACTTTTTGATAGAAAGTCTCATGTAGCCCAGACCGGCCTACAATTTGTTAGGGAGCTATTCTAGTTTCCTTTCTGTTGCTGTGATAAAGCACTCGGACCAAAAGCAATGTGGCTTCAAGGAGGTTTACTTGGTTTACACTTCACTTCTGGGTCATAGACCATCACTGGAGTCATGGAGAAATGTTGTTGCTTGCTGACTGGTTAGATTGCCCAGCCAGCTTTCTTATACAGCCCAGGGATGAGGCTACTCATAGTAGGCTGGGCCCTTCTACATCAATCACCATTCGTGATAATCTAATTAGTCTAATACTTGACAAATCCTGGACATGGCCACAGGCCAACCTGATCTGAGCAATTCCTCAAATGAATGTCCCTCAGATAACTCTAGGCTGTATCAAGATGGCAGCTGAGGCAAACTAGGACAACAGCCAAGGATGACCTTGAACTTCTGATCCTTCTGCCTCCACTTCAGGCTTATGCCACTGTGTCCAGTGTATGAATGCAGTGCTGGGGCTCCCACCATGGACTCATGAATGCTAGGCAAGTACTCTACCAACTAAGTTACCTTCCCAGAACTCTAAGGTGTGACATCTAGTTGTAAGGTTGTTGCTATTAGTTGAAGTTCCTCCCTCCCTCCCTGCATTCCCCCCTCCCTCCCTCCCTCCCTCCCTTCCTCCCTCCCTCCTTCCCTCCTTTCTTCTCTCTCTTCATCTTCCTACCTTTCCATCTTACCAGTCTCTCTGCCTGATGGTTAGGAACCATTCCATCGGGTATTCTTCCCTCCTGAGGAGTCAGTATCAGCTGGGACAGACACACATGTGACCTAGTGGTAAATTCAGAGCCCCGGGGTGGGGGGGGGGAGGGAAAGAAAACTTTGCTTGCAGGATGGTGAGGCTTTCACCCACACTTCTTGGGCCCCAGCTTCCCAGAATCCTCAGAATTCCAGCTAGATCTCTAGCATCTTTCAGTGGACAAAGCCTGGCTGGGTCATTTCCAGTTCCTTGGAGCCTGGTGTCTGCTTCAGCCCTGGGGAGCCCAGTCATAAACGGCTGAGTCTGCATTGAGGAACTTAATGGAGAGCACCAGGGAATATACCACCACTTAAAAAACAAGTGATAATGTTGTTGACATTTGAACAGAAACATTTCTTCTTGGATGCTGGAAAGGGTGCTAATGTTGTTTTCTGGGGCAGGAGGAGGTGTGGATATACAGCTGGGGGAGGGGCTGAAATGAGCTCAGCTGTCATCCTGAGGAAGCAATGAATGCCCTTGTCCTGTCTCAGTCTACCTGCGAAGGCTATTCCACAGTGGAGCAGGAGTACCTGGGGATTTCTTTTCCCAAAAGCGGAGCCCGAGTCAAAGAGTGGCAGTGGAACGCTATCAGAGCACACCAGCTACCACTAGAGAGAACCACGCTCCTTTGGGGACCCCCTAATGGGATGTGCCCGGACATCACTGACACACAACCTCTGGGTTTCTTTTTTTCTGGAGAACATACACTCACATTTCATGGATTCCTCGTGGGGGTTTGACCTCACACACCACATCTTTGTAACACTGGGGTCGCTGAGTCTGGCTTTGAGCTGGAAGCATAGAAGGCGTGTAGCTAGCTGGGAATGGAGGGCAGTTAGAAAGTGGGGTAACAAAGACGAAGAGGAACTCACAAGCCTGCGCTGGCGCCCGGTGGGAGAGAACTTGTTCCTTTGATGGCATGTGGTGGGAGGAAATAAGGGCCAATGGTCACTGAGCCAAATGCATTCTCCTGGACCTCAGGTCAATGTAAGGCAGTCCAACCACCACACTGTGTCCCCTGCACCCTCCGGGGCTCTCATAGGAAGTTTTGATTTTGTGTGTGTGTGTGTGTGTGTGTGTGTGTGTGTGTTATCGGGAATGGGATACTGGGAGATGTAGTATCAGGGAGTCAAATTGCCACATTACAGAGGCAGACAAGGGTTTGGGTCTCAGGGGTTTGTTTCGGAACTGACATCCAGGAAACATGGGGTGGGCGGAAACAGGAGGAGGACAGACCACAGAAGCCAGGGAAGAGGGAGTATCCAGCTAGCACCTGGGCTCAATCCAGCAGGGGAATCTGGGAGTAGAAAGTAGTCATATTTTTCATCAGGACCAAAGGCTCCCCAATAATGGCATAGAGACTTATTAATTAAACTTGGCTGACAGCTTAGGCCTATTTCTAACTAGCTCGTATAACTTTAACCCATTTCTATTAATTTACTTTCTGCCTCGTGGCTTTATTACTTCAATTCTGTACTGGCCATCCTGTTTCTGTTCTTCTCCTCGAATCTCCGACTTCTTCTCAGGGTCCTCTCTGCTCCCCAAATCCTGCCTAGCTATTGGCTGTTCGGCTTTTTATTAAACCAACCCGCGTGACACATCTTCACAGTGTACAGAAAGATTATGTCATAACAGTAGAAGGTGAAGGAATGTTGAGGGAGGGGGAGTAAACAGGGCACAACACTGAACAAGTCTCAGCTCATCAGGGGGCCAGGGAGCTGCATTCTGCCTGGGTGAGAGATGCATACAATCTCAGATGGGGTCACAGGTGCTCTTGAGAGGCAGAGATGAGGGCAGGGAGGGCACAAGTTCTCAAGCACTGTGTGTCTGGTTCTTTATTTCTGTGTTTCCTTTTGTGGTGATGACATAGCTCCTGCTTTCCTCAGAAGTATGTGTTTATATGATACATGTATGTGCATGTATATATAATGTGTATATGTTGAAGTATATGTGTGTGTATATACTACAAGCTTATATATGTATGTGTATATATTTGTATTGTATATATGTATGATACATGAATGGTTGTGTATACATGTACATGTATAATGTATATGTGCATAAATGTGTATATATATATGTGTGTGTGTGTACATATATGTATGTCTACATTGTGAGAAACAAGTGTTTTTTTCTATCAAAGGTAGTTAGTCCTGCAAGGACTCATATTTCCTGAACTGACCGCTCCCCCTATGCACCGACTAGCCTGTCATGTAAGGCTGTAAAGCTGGGCCCTGGCTAATGGGGTGAGATGCAGTTACAGACTGCAGCAGATGGAAGCTATTTTGGCCAAGTGTGCTTGTTAACCTGGTTTGGGGTTTGACACACCCTTTATGAAGGAAAGAAATAGTCTTGCCAAGCTACTTTTGTTTTGTTCTTATGTTCCTTTGTGTGACACGGATTACCCTTCATTTGTTTCTGTAGTGTGTGTGTGTATGTGTGAATGTGCCATGGACAATGTTGAGGCCAGGGGACAACATTCAGGGCTGGTTCTCTCCTTCCTCTGTGTGGGTCAAAGTCAAGCCATTAGGCTTGCTGCCAAGTGTCTTTAGCTGCTGAGTGTAGCAGGCTTTCCTTGACCACCAGCCTCCAAGCCATGATACAGAGACTTATTATTGATTATGAAAGCTAGGCCTTAGCTTAGGCTTGTTTCTAACTATCTCTTATAACTTAAATGGACCCATTTCTATTAATCTATATGCTGCCATGTGGCTTGTGGCTTTTACCTCTCCTCCTACATGTCCTGTTTCTTTTCCATTTCCTCTGGGGTCTCCCCATGTCTACATTCATCTCCTCCTCTTTTCTCTCTGCCTGGAAGTTCCGCCTTACCTCTTCCTGCCTAGCTATTAACCATTCAGCTATTTATTAAGCCAGTCAGAAAATTCCTTGGCAAAGATAGATCCTTACAGTGTAGACAAATATTCTTCAACAGCTGAGCCCTTTCATTGGCCTCAGGCATCCTTCTCTTTTATTTATTTATTTATTTATTTATTTATTTATTTATTTATTTTCTTAGACAAGTCCCGCTTGGTTCAGAATGCCCTATGTTGAGCAGGCTGGCGTCAATCTCACAGAGACTCATCTGCCTTTACCTCCTGAGCACTGGGCTGAAGGTGTGTACCACCACAACCAGCCTCTCTCTTTAAGGTAAAAAGAAAAAAAGTTTAAAGATGTCAGAAGCCCTTCAGCAAACTCCATCTTCTGTTCCACAGCCCACAGCTGCCTTAACCAGCCAGAATACACATGCAGGAGCTTGTGACCTCCTGCTACTGGGACAAAACTGGCCTGCTGTAAACCACAGAAAAGAGAAAAGGCATTAAGTAAGCCTTTAAGGGAAGTCTTGGTTGTGTGGCCTGAGAGGGCCCCTGTGTCTGAAAAAAACAGAACAGCTCCCTGTAGTTAGAGCCTAGGAGATTCTCAGTTTAGTACTCAGGGCATTCTGATCTGGCTTGGCTGAGGGGACTGGCCTCCACCCTGAGCACACCTCCCGAATCTGAGAGCAAGCTTTAGAGGACAACCTTGAACTTCTGATCTTCTGTAGCAAATTTTTGTGGGCTTCCAGCCCTCAAATCATGACACAGAGACTTACTATTAACTATGAAAACTCAGCGTTAGGCTTGTTTCTAACTAGTTCTTGTAACTTAAGTCAACCCATTTGTATTAGTCTATGTGTTGTTGCACAACTCATGGATTTTCTCCTCCTGCATGTTCTTCTTCCTCTGCTGGTAACGTCCCCCCCCCACTTCCCTGAAACCGCTCTGTCCCCAGAAGTCCTGCCTAACCTCTTCCTGCCTAGTTATTGGCCATTCAGTTCTTTATTGAACCAATCACAGTGACACATCTTCACACAGTGTAAAAGAATATTCCACAACAATCCTCCTGCTCCACCTCCTGAGTACAGGGATTATAGGCATGCACCACTATGCCTAGTTTGTGTGGATCTGGGGATTGAACTCAGGGCTTTGAGAGTGTTAGGCAAGCGCTTTACCCACTGAGCTATATTTCTAGCCCTATGAGAGCCATCTCCATCCCTATTGTATGTGTGGAGGCTAGAGATTACTACCAGGTATTTGTTTTCCTTTCTCTCTGTCTGCCCTATCTTTTTGAGACAAGGTGTTTTCACTGAGCCAGGGGCTCACCAATTGGCTAGGCTGGCTGGGTAGCAAGCCCCAGGATCCATCTGTCTCTGCACTCACAAAACTGAGGTTAAGTGACCATGGGCTCTCCAACTGCATGCCAGAGAAACTGGAGAGACTTTGACAGTCCAAACTAGCACAGTGCCTGCCACTTGGCTTTCCTCTATGCAAAAAAAAAAAAAAAAAGAAAAAAAAAAGAAAAAAAAGAAATAAAGAAAGAACTGAGGTTACAGACTCCGGCCACCATACCTGGCTCTTATGTGAATGCTGAGGATTTGAACTCCGGCCCTCATGTTTGCACAACACTTTATCCAATGAGCCACCTCCCCAGCCCACCAAGCAGACTTATTTTAAAGGTATGAAAAATTACACATTTTCTCATCCCTGTAGTCTGCTTTAGTGGTGTGATTTTCCTGCTCACTTTCCTTCAGGACAAACTCAGTCTTTCACAGAAGACCTGGCAGCTGGGTGCGCGTTGCTAATTCTTCTTAGGCAGATGACACTAAATAAAAACCTGGTCACCGGATTCAGCCTGAATTCAAACCAGTTGCCACCTGGTAGCAATGTGACCTTGGCAAGTGCTCTCTGACCTTTGGGTTTCTCCAGCAGGGCTTATGTCGGTCTCTACCTTCAAGCACTGTGTGAGGATTCCTGTTTTAAGTGATGTACGGGGAAGGCTCTGTAAATGCTGGCTGGTCCTCCTTATGACCACCCAGGTGGTTTCTACAGCTCAGCTGGGAGGGGGGGGTCCCTCCTTTGAACTAATTATATAGTGTTAATCCACTGGGTAAGAATAAGATCACTATCATAATTTTTGAGCCAGATTTGAAGCAAGCCAGGATGATGGACTCTGGCTAGGTTTGTACCTGGGATTCCCAGAGAATGGCCGTGAATTATGTTAGTTGGATGCTTATAAAGGCAAAACCTGTAAGACTATGTACTTTCTGCTTTCATCCAATTGGGGGGCAAGCATGCATTCTGACATATGTTCTGCCTACATACCTCCAGCCTATGTGTGCTCAGGTACATCCTGTGCAGTTAGGGCAACCAACCTTGTTTATAGAACTGAAAATTTGTGGCTTGCTATCTTACATGAATAGCCCCCAGCATTCAAGGGAATTATTGTCCTTGGGCAAGTGGGGCTAAGAGGTTAGAGGCATTTTGTTTCATAGATTTCTAAAGCACAGTAATTGAAACTTAAAATATAACTTTAACCCTCACAGTGGCCCAGGCTGGCCTTGAGCTCATGGCATTCCTCCTCCTGAGTTTTGGGATTACAGGAGTGACCACCACACATAGCGGTACTTATAGCACAAATTACACCCCCCACATACACTCCTTTTCCTTTGCCTACTTGCCTCACTAAATATTTATTGGCTCTGTTCAGGGTTAGGAGCACAACTCAGTGAAGAACAGGACTGTGGACTGGAGTCAGCAAACAAGAAACAGGCCAGGGTTCCATGAAAAACGTGGGTACATCAGAGGCCATGAAGGGTGGTGGCTAGAGGAGAACTCTTATGGGTGGTGACAGTTAAGCTGATGGCTAAGGGACTACAGAAGCTGGTCAACTCGGGAAGTCCAGAGATGACAGGGGATCGTATTGGGACCATCTGGGAGCTGTTCAGTGGGCCTGTGAGGACAGTGCTACCGGTAATGAGGACTAGGAAGAGAGGATGGCACAGGGCAGGAGATCAAGGATGGGCATAGTGATGTGGCCTGCAGGCAAGCGTCTTGCAGAGAGCATTGAAGATGGAAGAGGTGAGCTTTCTGTGTGAGAGGGTGAGACACACAGGAAGCCCTGCTAGTCCCTGAAACCTCCATTCTGACCTCAGATATTCTCCAGCAGTTTGGGTTGAAAGACTTAAACTAGCAAAGAAATGAAATGAAGCCCAAATAATTGGAATGCTGGGCGTAATTTGCTAACCACCTGCCCTGAGATAGCAGGATACCAAGAATTCACACTGCCCCTCCTTTCCGTGAGTCAGCAGGTGGTAAATAGGGTCCTTAAGAAACAAAGAGATAGCTGCAACTCTGGTTTGCCCAGACAAGATTAATTAGCACACCCCAAGGCCCTAAGGTCTGTTGACCCTAACAGCAAGACCATCCGGCCTCGTACTCAATGGACAGAGGGTCGGTCACACGACCCTCCCTAGCTTGTGGGTTTTGCCTTTAAAAATGCCTGTGCCTGGGGAATGGAGCTTCTCTTTGGCCTGTGTGCTGAGGGAGCCTGTTTGCACAAACGATTCCTGTTCATTAAAGCCTCTTGTGTGTTGCAGCAACTGGACTGGACATTGAGTTCTTGGGGGTACCGACTGAAACTGGGAGACTCCTCATTCTGAGGGTCTTACAGGGTCAGGATCTCCTCTGCTCTGGCCTCATGTTGGCCCACCTAAAGGCTACACAAAAAAGATGCTGGGGTGTTCTTTGGGGGACTCTGACCCAACTGTCAGACTCATCGATCACAAACAATCTTTCCTAATTTAGTTGAGTATCTTTAAGAATATTCTCATTTGCACATTTGAATACATTAGCATAATGACTTCCACGGTGGCCTCCCAGCCTTTGTATACCTGACCCACCCACTCCACCCTGTTCCTTCTCCAGGAGGCTAGTCAACCAGATTCCCCATTAACCTGATCAGGGGACTAAAAGCAAAACTATCTGAATTTCTTCCATAGCTGATTCCAGAGTGGTCGTAAGAGACCTGTCTTCCAGGTGGGCAGGCTATGATATTAGGGAGGTATCTCTTAGTCAAGATGAAAGGGCCCAGTCTGCTACAGAATGCTCTGGTGCCTGCACCAGGCTTCCAATGAATCACATCAAAGGCCTCCTAGCCACTGCCCGCCCCTTCCAGCTGTGGGGAAAATGGGCTCATTAGACCAGAGAGCGAGTGGTGTTTACATTAGGCACTGCTGATTTACAAGCCCTGAGCTGCCATTTTCCCCTCACCTCGAGCTGGGGCTCAGGAGAGCCCTCTACTTGCCTGCAGTGGCTCCTTTGAAGGTTCAGCAGGCTCCAGAAGAGGATCAGGAGAACACCCCTTCCTCCCCTCTGCCTTTCTGCACTAATTAGGCTCCTTTCAATTGAACACTATCTAGGGGTGGGTAGAGACTAGCAGGGGACTGTCGGTGGAGGCCTAGGCATAATTGTGTTGATTAAGAAGCACAAGGCTGGTGAGGTTGTCTTCTTTCAAGATCAAGTCTCTGCACTTGTGGGAGTCTTGATTTTTCTGGGCCAATTTGTTTGTGTTGTCCTAATTGCCCAGAGAAGGATGTTTCTTATAAAACTCCGGTCTGTGGGATACTGTGCAAGTCTATATATCCTGAGGCTCCAGGTTTGGGGTGTGCACCGTGAAGTCTTGTCTTTGAGTACCAGGCTAAGAGTGTGGCAGCATTGGGGACAATCCTGCTGGGTGTGTCAGAGGCAGAATAAGCAATTGGGATAACCAGAATGGCTCCTGGACCCCATGTTCCCTTGCAATTGATTGGGAGTCGCCAATGGACTGTGAGTAGATGTGACACATGTCTATGAAAGGCCAATGTCCCTGGAGCTGGTAGGTCCGCCCTCTAGCCTCTTTTTATCTTTTATACTGTAACTTTGTGGAGTCATACACCCCAGACAGAGGGAGGCAGCCCGACTACAACTGCCTTTATGGGAGAAACAGACTTACTGTGTTAGCTCTAACATTTCAGAATTTGGTTAGCTCTTCTTGCACTCTACTGTAGGTTGTCCTAATACATGGCCCCAGTGAATGTCACCTGCCCTAGAAAATGGCTGCCTTGTCTCTTCTGAGAGACATTCTGCCAAAGCCAGCATAAAAGGAGAGCCTTCTCCATCAGTTTGGAGCCCCTCTTTTGAAGCCTGAGTTGCAGGGTCTGCTCAAGCTTGGTTTTCTTAAGAGAGCAGGCTTGCTAGGGTCAAGTGTTCACTGGTTCACCAATCATTGAGCCCAGTGGATGGGGGCATTCTGACTGTCTGACCCAGTTTGGGTTTAGAGTCAGGGTCATGGTCAAGGTTGGGCTGGGTTAGGTTTGGCAGTCCCAATCAGTGGGAAAAAAGGATGGCAAACAGACGAGAGTGTCAACTATAAATGCTATTTCTTGGCTGCTGTGAGCCCAACTCTTAACACATTGCTCTGATGCATCACAGAGACCATGGCTAAGGCCCCAGGAAAGTTGTTTGGCCATTTATAAAAAATATAAATGCACGGAGGTATGATGGTTCTACTGGTAGCCGGAAGTATGAAACATTCTATGAAGAGGATTTTAATTACTTTGATGCCTGTGTAGTTCTGCAGGGACCCGGGAGGCTGAGGGATGGGGAGGAGAAGGATGGGAGTGAGGTGATGTAGAGCTCCTGCACAGTCACCGGGAGAGGAACATCTGAGCTTCTCCTGCACAGCATACTCCCTACGTGTGTGTGTGTTTGCAGAGAGCCCACTGTGGTCTGCCCTGGATTGCTTTCTATTCATGACAAAATGCCATGATCAACTAACAGGCCATTATAAAGGGAAGCCAAGGAACTCAAGACAGGACTCTGAAATCAGGACCTGAAGCAAGGACCATGAAAGAACTCTTCTGATTGGCTTGTTCTTCATGGCATGTTCAGGTACCTTTCTTATTCCTCCCAGGACTATCTGCTCAGGGGTGGCACACCTCACAATGCCCTCTCATCAATAATTAATCAATCCCACAGGCTTGCCTACAGGTTAATCAGATGAAGGCTTTGTCCCTCATCCCACATCACCCTAGGTGGTGTCAAGCTGTCAAAAACCTAACTGGCACAATTGACCTCTTGTCAAGTTGACACACCTTGGAAGAGGGGACCTCAACTGAGGAGAGGGATTGCTCTCCACTTCCAAGATGGTACCTCATTAATGTATTCGTAGGAGGGGTAAACAGGGCAAATGTGGGTCCTCACGGGTGCTCTCCAGCCCTTTAATCACTTTCTGTGCTGGCTAGTTTCATGTCAACTTGACACAAGCTAGAGTCATTTGGGAAGAGGGACTCTCAATTGAGAAAATGCCTCTGTAAGATTTGTGCATGGCAAGTCTGTAGTGCATTTTCTTGATTAATGATTAATGTGGGTGAGTCCAGTCCACTGTGGCTGCTTCCAACCCCCTGTAGGTGGTCCTGGATGGTATAAGAAAGCAGGCTGAGCAAATTATGA